AAGATTTATGTTATTCAAACAGAAAAAAAACAAACTTTATGATTAAAACTTGTAAACATCACTCAGCATTTTTTTAATCTTCTTTTTCATAATAGATATATATACATAGCATTCGTATAATAGTATGTTTCATTTATCCAGTCAGAAAGTTTTGTATATTATTCTTGGTGAAAACTTTTTAAAAACTCTTTACATAACTTTTGAAAATTTCTATACAAATTTAATAACTTTTCTTAAAGTTCTTCTGTTTACACTGTAATCGTAATTATAAAATCTAATAAAAGCGTATATAATTATAAAATAATTTAATTACATAAAAAGAATTACATTTTAAACTATTATTTTATTCTTTTAAGATAAAATTAATAAAGTTTTTTTAAATAAATATTTACATAATTCTGGTTTATTTATATTATAATTAAGGTTATATTGTAAAATACTGAAAAAGGAAATATTTTTTTCTAAAGTTAATGTTTTAATTGTAGCTAAAATATATGAATTTTGAGTACTTATATCAGGTACATTTCTTAACGCATTCTATCACAGTTTGATTCACACAATTTGTAACTATTTTATTTTCTTCTTTACATAGTAGAAACGTTAATGTTACGTTATATAATATTAATCTGTTATTTAATATACTAATCTTATATAATAAGATTAACCTGACAAAACCTTTAGCGGTTTTGTGATATTTTGCAACTGATTTTAGCGTGTTCATGATGTATCTAGTAAAGCAGAAATAGAAGTATATCACGTATATCTCACGGCTTAAGTAATGCAAATTAATTTCCGGGGGTTATTCGGTCAACTACATATTTTCCTTAATGAAATGCAAAAATTATATCACGAGTAATAAAAAATTTATATAGCAATGAATTTTAAGTTTTAATAAAAAGTACAAATTATTTAACATAAAAATTATGTATCGTAAAAAATGTTGCATTGATAAGAAATACTTTATTTAAGAATTAAACATGTTTTGCTATTCTAAAACGATAATTTAATTAAATACAATTAAAATCTTTTAATTATGCAATATATTAAAACTGGTGTAGACCTAAATAATGACCTATTTAGGGTATATTTCAACTTGTAGAGAATCTCTGCAACAGTCTCTGGCATGATTTATTTCTGTAGAATTAGTTGCTGTAGAATTAGTTTGCTTTCACATCTCGATGCGAGGATCATAAATCTTTTGGGGTGCTTGCTTGTCTATAAAGTGTTACATTCTTCATTATACGTCATGTGGTAGGCATACAGAACTTTGCACATTACATAACTACTTGCTCATAACCGTGTTGATATTATACTTTCTTATATGAAAGTGCATTGATTTCGACAGAGTGCAAGTATAATTTATCATACTTTCCAATTGCAAGCAATATAGATATTTATGGGTGCAGAAAAAGAAAAAAATTTAAAAATAATTAAGTTGAAAAAGGAAGAATACATAGAGACTATAATTTAACCAGGTGCTTCTAGCATTTTTAAGAAAAGAAATGTATAAGACACGAATGACTCAATCATGTTTATTGAAGATTAATGAATATTATTGTAACATTATATATTAACAAATTATAATTGTATTATTTCTCAAAATTAATAATAATGATTATACAATAATAATTAGATATATTTTTTAAAATCTAATTAATAACTTAATAAATAAAAACATAACAAATAAATCAATTAATTATTAATTAACTTACAGTTTGTAGTTATAGTATTTAAATTTTAAATAAGTTTATCAAATTTGAATATCATAATAAAATAATTAATCTGTTTAAAATAATTAATCTGTTTAACAATTATTTTGCAGTGGATGATGCTACGAGTTAAAGACGAATCAGTAACAAATTCAAGGACAGGCTTTTCGATTAATTTTTTGTTTTATCTCAGTTTCGAATTTATAATTGGCACTATCATCTCTAGTTTCTTAATCATTCTTAATGTCATAAAATCTGTTCTGCCAAAGCCACCAAGGGATTTGAGCGGTGATGTAGTTTTAGTATGTACATTTTTCTGTTCACTAATTTTAAATTATATATTTTATTAATTTATTAAATTATATTATATACAATTATTACGTTTTCATAATTAAAGTTAACAATTTAAATATTTAGTTTACATAATATTTATAATTTATAAAATGTAATAAATATTATTTGAATTGGAATTGAAAAGTTAGAAGAAATTAATTCTGCATGTGATACAATTAAATGTAATAAATATCCAGATAGCAAAATATCTGCAGTCTTCTAGCAGACTGTCAGCAGATTCGAATAGAAAATGACGGCAGTCTGCCATCAACTGCGGCCGCATTAGGTTTGTATTCTGTTACATCGCCTGTCGATATAATGTGAAGGCAAATTGTTGGCAGAAACTGAGTCCTGCCGACATTATTTGATGCTTGCAGATTCTCTTACATTTTTTTCTAGCAGTCTGTCAACAGTCTTATATACATCTAATTCTGTTATTATTTTGTTGGCATAATGTGTAGCAGACATTAAAAAAAAATCTGCTTTCTACAGACTTGGCTATCTGGGTAGTTATCTTAAAATTTTGCATTTCTTCTTTCTATTGTGAATTAAATATAAATATAAATTTGATTTAAAACTGAATAGTCTTGAAAATATAGAATAATTCTTTCTTAATGGATAAATGTTTTCTATAATAGATTGCCGGTGTCTCGTCGACCCTCGGCGAGTCTCTGGCCGAGGAATTCGCGAGGGGTGGATGTTCTGTGATCTGCGTGGATAATGATTTTAGATCCGTCAAAGAGATAACTACCAGGTTAAAATCACGGTGCAATAAAGTGAAGGGAATCGGACCTAACTATAGGGAAAAAAAGCAGGAGAATGTAGGGCCCATAATGGCAGCATATGAATGTAATCTGATGGATCGTAATGCTATACGTGAGATCGCCAAGAAGGTCGAGGATGAAGTCGGTGGCATCGACATCCTAGTGACCTGTGCCGGGCAATCTTATCAAGATATTTTTGATACAGCCACTACTACTCTCATGAGCCATTATTGGGTAAGCGTCAGTTGTGTCCTTGAAGCAATCTTGTCATGTCACAAGATATTCATACATACATCTTTTGATATTCATCTTTATAGTTTATTATTGCGTTTTTTCATATCTTTAATATCTGCGTAAGTCTTTAACTATTCTTTTTGTCTTGTAATCCGTTTTATTTTTTAATCCATCTAATTACTACTTTCAGTTTTCGATCTCATCTATTTTGTGTTATCATTGTTTTAACTATAGATCTGCCTTTATTAGTCTGCCTGCTAAGATCATATCATCAACTACATTTCTGTACATGTCTTTGACTTTGTTTGTTATAAACTATGATCTACAGTTTTTCTTCTTTTTTTTTTCTTATTGCAGACGATGTTGGCATTTTTGCCATTTATGATACAACGCGACAGAGCGTACATTGTCGGAATTACGCCAATTACATCCACCCAGGATGTATATTTGAGCTCGAGGGCGGCAATCGCCGGTGAGTGTAGTCAATCATAAAAGCCATTCCTCAAATCGCGTGCGGTAAACAATAAATGTCATGTCGGTTAATAGCGCGTGATTTATTTACATTTAGGTCTCATGGAAAGTTTGAGTCAGGAATTGAGCAATCATACTAGCCATCTTACCTTTCTCGCGATTTCACCTATAGCATGCAGGTGAGTTTTCCCAAAAAGAAAAAAAAGAGAATAAAGGAATTTTCTCATTGTTCCTCTAATAATTAATTTCAAATCACTAATATTATATTATAACTCGACAAGACAAGAAGAACAAGCAATAGCTAAGGAGATTGTGCAGGCAGTCAGAAGAGGCCAATGCAGCATTAGCATTAATTGGTGCTCGAAAATGATATATCATATAAGGTAAAAAGGTTAACAATAACTAATTAAAAATTAATCAAGATTAATTGTTAAGATCGATTTATAAGATATTATTTTAAACATTATGAATATTTGAATATTTCAAGTCAAAATTAAATTTGAAGAAATTTGAAGAAATAATAAATTTTTTATACATATTGTAGCATATATGCAATAAAAAATGGAAAAATCTTTATTTTAAACATAATTATGTAAGCTGTTATAATATTCTTTTATATAATTTTTTATTGTATTATTTACATATATATTTATTTTCACTTTGCTAATCTCAACATTTTTGCACAATTCGTATAGATTGCAGATTTGATTTTCTGGCAATTAAATTTAATTCTTGATACAGTATATATTATTTTTAATTGACTTTTTGCGATCTTGTATTTCAGTTGTGTGATCTATAGTGCAATAACGACGGTTTCACAATGGCTTCACACGCAGGGATGCGATTATTCCTTTTAAATCCTGTTCTTGCTCATGAAGCATGAAACATTCCAGTCGGCCACCAACACGAGTGTGGGAATTCGCATTTTCTGTTAGTAAATTTCCTCAAGGTAGACAGTAAAAACCTTTAAAAGCTGTTTGAAATTTGTGTAGTAAGAAGTACCTTCCCACGAATTATGTGAAGGGAAGAATCATTCCAAATATTCACACGGAGTCAAATTAGAATTATAAATCGTCACGTATTATCTTAGTACATTATTATATTGCTAAAGACGATCCTCGTAGTTTTTAAGAAAATAGATTTTTTGTTAATAAAAATTTAAAAATTTGTCTTTATCTTTTTTTTTATTTCCTTCTCATCGAATATATAAAATATTTAATTATCAATTAAGTACCATATTTGATTAAATTTATCTCTTACAAAGATATTACTAAATTTTATGTTCGCAAATGAAAAATTACGTCTTAATAATTTTAATAAATTTAATATACATTTATTACACACTTCATTGTATATTTTTTATATTTTTCAATTATACAATACATTTAAATTATACAATATCTTTTACAAAACGCAAAATATATCATAGTTGTTACAAAAATTAGTAAAGTAAATTTTTATATATATATATTATAATTTTATTGCTTATTTGATCTCGTTAAAAATTATTTTAACTTTTATTCATTTTTTTACTAATTGCCACAAAGTCTAACTTATTGGCCCATAAAAAAGCTTGACATTGAATCGGGTAACAGAACATCGTAATGACCGCTTTCAGAACATCCGGTGAATAGGAGTCTCGCGGTTTCATAGTTGATGTTCACGCGGTTATGAAAGACCAACTTAAGTTCATATCTGCCAGGAAGTTTGCGATAAATCGAAAGATTCATGCGATGAAGTTTTGTGGCTACCGTGCATTCCAGCTCGCTGGCAAATGTACCTACTACATTCATGTAATCGTAGTACTCTTGGCAATCCGAAATATTCCATTCAGCTATCACGAATGGACCATACTCGCGCCAATTGTCCTTAATATGCTGCACAACCTACCAAATGATCCATAGCTGTTATACATGTCATATATCAATTACCGCCTGTGTTATTATCAAGTTGACATCATAAAAAGTAATATTTATAGGATAGCAATATATGGCATCTACGCGTTTTAACTAATTAACCTTTGTCTCCCATCACGAAACGATTCTATTTTTAACTTCATTGCAATCAATCTATAATATTTATGATATTTCACATGTAAATTCCATGTTTATCTAATTATAATATTTACAGTTAAATTACAATGACTGACCATAGCTCGGAGTGATTGATGCTCTTCCTCGTTTCGCCACAAAATGTAGCTGATCGCTCTAAACATGCAATTCCCATCTCCATATATCTTCCGCACGCGAAACGTGCCCTCGTTACACCTTAATAGAGCCGTATCTTTGAGGAATCCAAAGCATACATATTATTGATCACAAATTTAACATTAAATGCGCAATAATCAGATTTTTTTAAATATAAATATTTTTATAATAAAAATAAATTTCGGAATCAAGTAGCCATGTTTACTGTTAAATATGATGCTCATGGTGTTTGATAAGTTACCTTTTTTAAATGCTTGGAATCGTCTACTTTCACACTTTCTGCAAATAGCTCTTGTAGTTCGCGTTGAAATTTTTGTGCTGGAAACCCAGCAGATTTGCCATGCAGAATCACGTTTGTTTGTCTGAGTTTTCGAAAATTTATCAATTTTGGAATCTCCTCGATCGAAAAAATATTTTGCTTCTTCGAGATTCTGTCCTTTTTCATTCTCGAGTAATGTATGGCGGTGATCGCAATCTTCTGAAAATTACCTTTATAATCCATTTTATAATTACTCTTTATATATAATTTTTTTTGGGGAAAAAATTAAAGAGAGATTCATGGTGTCTTTAATTAAATTTACATAATATAATATGTACAAAATCGAGAAACAAGTTCTGTTTCGGAAAAATAAATAAAGATTATCAGAAATGTATCTTCTACATGTAATTACAAAAATAATTACTATGTTTTTATAATAATTTTTCTATTATTTAACGTTAAGCAAATAATCTTTTTATAATCTTTTAATAATTTTAAGTATGTTCCTACCGTTTTTGAAGGTACGTGTGCTGAAGTAAAACCACGAGAAACATGGAAGACAAAGAATTTTTAATAGTTTTGATAATCTTGATGTTAGAATGTTAGAAGCTTAATTTGGCTTCAAAGATAAGGCGATCTCATAAATAACAATTATTAATTATTCGCGAGTTTTTGTATTATACCAATTTCTACATTGTGTTATAACAAATAATAATTATGCAAATTCTTTTAAAGTAAATTATAAATTAGATACAATGTGTACACATGTTTTAGACATTTTGTAACTTGAACGTAACAATTTATGATTATCGATTATCGAATATATCTGTTCGTTCAATTACATTTCCTGGAACTTTCTGTACCCAAACGAATAATTTTAATCAAGTTTTGGAAAGAGAAAGAATGAAAAGAAATAAAATATAAAAATATATTGAAAATAAATAAATTTAAAAAATACAATTTTTAATAAATTTTATAACTAAATATATTTAAGTTCGTGTGTGACAAAAATAACAAATAGTATATAAAAAATTAAATCAAATTAATTATTGCGAATTAGGAAGAGCTATTTTCTGCTCTTTTTTTCTTAAAAATAATTTAGATATTTAATTATAATTAATAAATTTCTATTGAAGTATTTATGTAGAAATACGGAGAATAATAATATTTTATAAAATTAATAATATTTGAATGATATTTCGAATCAATTATTACTTAATGAATACCAAATTATACTTGAATATTCATTTTCCTGAAATAAAACAAGTATTTGAATATTCTAATATTACTGAGTGAGTGCAAGAACATTTTAGTGAATGGATATTTAGGTATTCGGGTCAATTATATCCAATCATATCATTAGTTTTACTTTAGACACATTTCTTTCTCAATGGCGGGAAAATTCGTATTTATAGTTTGGCAGACCTGCTTACAGCATTATCGCAGAAGTATCGATACATACAGCACGATTTCGACCTACACTTACAAATTTATAACTGTTATTTTTTTTTTAAATAAAAATTTTCGCACTGGATTATTTTAATTTTCTGCATCGAAACTCAAGTCTTTTTTGTTCTTAAGAATGTTGTATATTTAATATTTACATCTAATCGAATAGAATCGAATAGAGATGCTTAGCTCGGCCTCGACAAAGCAACACGTTATTTTGTTCAGCTGCCACGACGTTGAGGGAGGGGAGGTAAATTTCTTACACGTGCCGCGGTGGTGGCAGTCGTTCACCAACCGTGACAAAACGAGCGTACTCCAGGCTCCGGTTGCCTGGCTACGCCTAGCTACGAGCGCACGGTGCATGCCACTTGCTGCGGTCGTAGGTTCGCACCAGTTCGCACACAGCGATACCGTCATACCACGCGGTAGGGAGGGTAGAACAAGTGTTTCAGTCGAGCAACAAACAGGGAAAAAGCAAAAGATGGCGATGGTGCATCGAAACGTGCCGCAGTAGTGATGCAGTACGAGCGAGTGCCGTCATTATTTGCTCCGATCGTACCGCGCGAGATCGCTCGTTGAGCGGAGCGCGGCCAAATGACATGGGAATTTGCAGCAGAAGGCATTTTCTACTGACAATATGCAGCCTGCAATTAGTGAGTGCATATTAATCCGGATGTGTACGCTAATTTTCGATTTGACCGTCGATTTAACGTCTGGCTATAAATTGTTCCTATATATATGTATTTGTGCCTATATACGTATTGTGATACAGATTATCTGATACAGATCGAGTCACATGTCTTTTTTTTTCTTCTTCCGGATTCCTCGATTGTGATAGTATTAGTCACATGTCATTCTGCGAGCGACGCGCACTTAAACAGCGTCCATTAGGAGAGTCAAAGAAGAGCCGTTACCACATTTTTCTTATCAATTCACGGATATTGTTTTATCGTATCGACTTGGGTCACGCGGTTTATCTCGAGGAATTTCCCTAAAAGGGATTTTTATATTACGATTTCATTATGTCATTTGATAGTCGCGTAGCTCCTATAATATTGGATCAATTGGCACTTAGATGCATTTTTTAAATGTATTTTACCATGCTACGAGTGACTTGCTTTTTGTGTCAGAAGTGTAAGAAAGTAATTGCAATAAAGACTAATGAATGTTTAGATTTCTTTTTTGGAATGTTAGAAGACTTTCTCTGTTGGAATGTTATAATATCAAATTTTAATATGTTTATATATCGAATTTAAAATATAAAATTCTATATATATATATATATAAAAATTAATAAATTAAAAATATGTAGAAAATAAATTTATTAAGTTTAACATATAAATTTTAATATCGTATATTTGTACTTTTTACATGTAATTTTTTAATTAACAGACATTTGAATTATGTTTTATATTTTAAAACGTATATTATAAAATGTCGACTACTGCATACCAATTTTTGAGTTTTATTAATTAAAAAAAAAACAATATTCTGAAATAAATCTGTCCATAAAAAAGTTTAGTAAATTAAGAGTTTTGAAACAATCTTTCGTGTAATTTCGTGTTGCGCCTTTAAATGCTATGACTCAGAATGATTAATTAACAGAGTATATAGAACGTAGGGCAATTGCCATAGTTTAAGAACGCTCACAAAAGGAATTAACAGAAATTAAAATGTTGCCACATATTACTTCACGCTTTTGTTGGATGCTTTTATGTAATCTATTTTCTTTTTGTTTTCAGATTACCATAATAGAACGTCAAGTTTTTGACTTTTTGGGATTTATGTGGACTCCGATATTGGTCAACTTTTTCAACATTATCTTCGTAATTCTAGGATTCTTTGGGGCCTTTCAGTATAGACCTAAATATATCATATCGGTAAATAATTATTTTTAGATATAGTAAAAAGGATTTTTATAAATATTTCGATAAGAATAATTTATATTCTGTTAAGTAAAAGTATAACAAAACAGTTTATAATCGAAACATACAAAGACTTTTTTTTACATATTTTTATTAATTATTAATAGAATGAATTATTTATTTCTATTACGATTCTTGTTTTAGTATTGTATATGGAATACATTGTGGTTAGGATGGAATATATTTATCATATGCTTTTATCTCAATGTGGGGATACTAGACAAAGTAAGTAGACTTATGTATAAATACAATGTGAATTATTGCGTACGCACATAATGGACATAATATTGTAATATTATTTTTCAGAATAGCGATATTCTTAATCTTGGTACTGGTAGCTTTTCATGGTGGTATGTAAATGGACCAGGTTGCAAAGCTGTTTATGATGTGACAGAACCAGAGCTTTTTCGACCTGCACGACCTACTAATGTAACAGACTGCGTGCTGGATTACGAAGTGATAGAAATTTTACACGCTGCGACACAATGTATCCTAGGTGTAAGTAAAGAGTTAATTACATTATCATAATATATTATCATAATACATTATCATAATACATTATCATAATACATTATCATAATACATTATCATAATACATTATCATAATGACTGTGTAGATTTTATTGTATTATATATATTTATATTGTTACATATACAATGACTGCGTTCAGCAGAGAAAACAGCTTTGCAATTGTTATAAAATTCTTCAGTTTGATTGGTTTATATATTTAGATCCAGTGAGGAACTAAGGGCAAGACCAATCATATTAAAGAATTTTACAACAAAGCTGCTTTTTCTGCTGAACGTCATATTAAAGAATTTTACAACAAAGCTGTTTTTTCTGCTGACCCCAGCCATTAATTCCAAAGTTTATCTATTTTACAGTTTATGGCCATTGTTGGCGGAATTTGTCTCAGTAAAGTGTTTCTTGAGGAAGATGATAGCTGTGAGTATATTTAGTATCGCATATATATATATATATGTATATCAGATTTAAATGAGTTATAGCCTTTGTTCTAACAAAGGAAATTTCAAAAGAAAAATACTTTTACTAAAAATTTTTCTATGTTTGGATTTTTTATCATTGTCTTTTGCAAACAGAATTAAGATTTACTAATATAAGTTGAATTGTAGTTAAGCTTAAGTTTGTACGACAGAAAGTATCACTTTACTTTTGAAACTTCTTTCGTATATCAGAATGCAGTCAAGTATATTTAAAAATTTTGTATTCAAGATTTTAGTGATTAGGTATATTTCAGTTGTAATATTAAAAAAAAAAGATATATATAATATAATACTTGCTTGAAGTAAGAATTAATGATCTTTACACTTTACTGGCTTGTGGTTTGATAAGCAATTGAGCAGAGGTTGTGGTTATTGTTAGAACAGTATATTTGATAAGATAATTTTGGGAAGCTGAATATCATTCTATATGTATTTAAAGAAATTGAAAGTGACAAGCCATGATATACAAGCCTCTTTTATTTATAATTTTTTACAATTTGTTTTTTATGATTACTGTTAATTTAAATATTCCAACATTAATTAGATAATCATAAAGAGTATAAATAAGATCATTATCTATTTACAAAATGTAAATTTAGTACATTTTGAAGAACGTAAAAGCTGTGTTAGTCTTATATAAGCGCTAGATTTTTATTATTTTATACATAGTTTGTCATATTATATCATCCTAATTGCACAGTAAAATGTACACTCTAAATTTGCATAAAACTGTCCAGGAATTTATCACCGCTAATAAGAATACATTTAAAAAATTAAATGATAAGAAATCAGATAATTTTTGATAAGATTATCTTTGATAATTCTTACTTACGTATAAGTACACGCGATTATTTATTATTGCTTGAAAAGAGGGTTGTCGGTTACAGTTGATTTCATTGGTGGATTTGATCCTCCATTTTGGTAAGTCCGCTTAATCATGTTCATAAATTGCACGCCATATATATATTTGTCTATTTTTTGGCACGAGTAAATAATTTTTTATCATAGTATAATCATAAAGCTATAGAATGTAAATTAAGTTTGAATATATATGTAGTGATGTAAAACTTTTTGCATCTTGAAGTTTGTAATTTGTACCTATTATTATTATTGTTGTTATTATTATTATTATTACTATTATTATTACCATATATTATTCAAATTTTTTTATCTTCGCATGAACGGAATGATGTTGTATCTTAATACAATATAGTATAATTTTTACTTTCTTTAGCCAAGAATATTGCAAATACAATTATAAAGACACAGCAAAATTAAGCAGACTATGCCATGTAGAACTAAATGTTACAACCGAAGATTTCAAGAAAAGATATATTTATTTTTCATGAAATGTTAGGGAAAAAAATTTGACTATAACATAATGACATCTTTGGCGTTACTTGTTACGTCGCTTCTTCGATGAATTCGTTAATGCATTGCTTATTTCCGATTCGTCGTCAATGGATTTCATCTAATGTGATGGATTCTTCGATGATATTTCAGTTGACTTTGTTGGAGGTGATGACTTTGGGTTGGCAGGCCACACACCGTTGCATCCTATGTACGTTAGCTACTCGGCTCTTCCACCACCTGCCTACTCCCTCAAAAATTCCGCTCAAAATAATTATCCGACCAGCACAGCTAGCTCTCACCAATCTGCCTATCGCGAGTCGAGCTTTCCAAAACGCAGCGGTGAGAAGCTGCTAGGCGGTAGTACCGCGCACGGCAAAAGCAACGTCGTCGGTTTTAAAAACGACACGGTTCGTAGTAACAGCAGTCGTTCGTCCAGCCGCGATTTTCAGAACGTAGATTACTCGGTCGACTACTTGAACCCGGTGGACCATTTGCAGCGACCCGTCTCGCCCGTATACGACGAATTTGATTCGTTGGACAGCGCCGCTAAGCTGCGATTTCAGAAAAACAGGCTCTACTATTTGCATTCATCGAGATACAGTCCGGTCGCGCGTATCAAGTGTCGCCAGGTAGCGGCGAAGCAAACCAGGAATCCCGTCAAACCCCGTGTCTTCGTCGATCATGTACGCGACCAACCACTAAGATCATTTTACTCCGATCCGAAATTGGCGGTTGAACAAGCATCGAGCGAACACGACAGGTCGTCTCAGTCGAAACGAGACAGTCGACCATTGTCCCTGTACGCGAGTAACTTCTGAAACGGGATCTTCCGCTTTTATACACGATTGCTTAAAGTACTTGTGTTAAAATTGATGACATTTTCTTTAAGTACGAGTGGCAGATAAAATTGCCCGTGCAAGCTCTTGTCTTCTGCTCTCTTATAGCGAAAAGAGTAACGAAAGTTAGTTTACACAAACTTCTATACTACTACCGCGTATGGCGTCCACTCGTGCGGTACGTGTAATATTATAATTCCTATACTTGCCAAATAGATAGAACAATTAATGTAACTATAGCCCTTAGATGCCTTCTCCTTTGGCAATTTTCATTGATCTAAATTATGAGTTGTGTGTTGTTACATAACGTGTTACTACATACTATTTATTGATGATGTTTCTTCGTACTTGCATCGAAATAATCGACTAATGTCGATTATTTATTTATAACTGTGTGTTCAATAGCGTTTGTTCGTTTGTTACGAGCAATTAACGCAGTGTGACTTACCTACTAATTCATAAATGTTGCATATTTATATGTGGGATGATACGGAATAATTATTCTCCGCTCTCTTCATCACTTAATACATACAAATAAATAATTACGTTAAGATTAATATCAATGTGCTGTAATGGTGCAAGACAGAATTCATTTTGTTGATATTAATACTATCTCCAACGATCATCTCCATGTAAGATTAATGGAGAGTGTGAGAAGCTAGAGAAGAAATTACTAATTTAGATACATTTATTCGTATAGAAAGAGGAATGGAGTTGAGGAGTTAAACGTGAGTCATCTTGTATATGATTCACTTACTGTTCGTGCTCTACGCATAAATTGATACGTCTTGGTATATTTACTGTGATATGTATAGAAACTGTGTTAAGATCACGCTAAATATTTATCGTTTTATAAATGTACGAGTTTGATTAGCGATACCTCGAAAATTATGCATTGGAAGATTTTAATGCACACTATGTAGAGAAAAGTATTGGCAAAACACAGCATGACTGGAACGTATTACCTAGGTGTGAAATAGCTATAGCTTTATAATTTTTTAAATTTACGCGAGAAATTTTGACAGTTAACGGAAGCTATATTATGTTTTGCTGTAATATTATTTCTAGATTCTTCTTAAGTCGAGATTAATACATTTCTATTATACAGACTCTGTCGTACGCTACGTGTGAATGAATAAGGATTTTAAGCTGGTACTTTGGAACGATTAGACTGCATTTAATTAGTTTATTTTACAGCTCAGTGTTGTAGATCATTGACCCAGTGCTATGAAGAGTTTTTTTTTATTGTAGAATATTTAAAAAAAACTTAAACGGGGAAGCGGCATGTTATGATTTTCCTTTGTTTAATAGTGCATGTAGTAGGTGTGGTTTCTTCTTTTTCGTATTTTCAATTTAGCAGAGTCAAGTATTTTATTACCTGAAAGCCTTTGTACTCGTTTTCATAGAAAGTATCTTAAGTGTATAGATTTCTCTATTATGTATGGACTTAATTGAGATTTCTTTACATATAAAATTTCAGATATTCTTTTTGGCAGTATAGTTATAAAAGAATCTTATCTATTTTGTGACGTTTCACATGTGAACGACTGATTTTTTGCGTTATATTATAATTTAATAAGAAATCTGAAGTGACATCACGAAAAATATATTTTTAGTGGATTATATTAGACTTTTAACGTAAAAAATAGTACGTAGCTAAATACCGTAAATAATCATAAAAAAAGACTGCTAAATGAAAAATAGATTTTAAAGCAGCTTAAATTCTATATATGAAAAACAAATCATTATATATTTACATAAATTAAATATTTTATTTTATCGAATATAACGAATGCGTTATATGTAATTCTGTTTATCTTTGATTTGAAATACACAATATTTTATTTATACAGCATAATGATAGAGATAAAGATCATGTTATTTATATGTGTAATATTGTATATACTTATTTTTACGTAGAACTTATATAAAAAAATTAGATAATAAAATTTATTTATTAGATAAGGAATATTATTATTGCCTATTTGAATAACTATTTATTTATTAAATATGAAACATTAGTGTTCCTTTTTATTTAGAGTCTGAAAAAGATTCAAGTGAAGAGAAACGTTAAGTAAGATGATAAAGTTTTTTTTGTCACTTCAGATTTAATATTTCTAATCAAGTACAGTCTCTATCGAGCATCTCTCAAATTTGTACAGAATATTTATATTTTTTTAAGTACGTCATATAATCAGTTTTGTATTTAACCACTGTATCTGTTATTTACTTTGGCGCAGTTGGGAACAATAAATATGCAACGTCGCTATTCGCTTGCTTTTTTATTTATTAACCCTTCACTTTTCTTTCTTTTCCTTTTCTAACAATTTCCTACTGTGCGGTTTTTTGGGTACTTTTTTTCTACATTTCTTAGTTGTTATTACATTTTTGGTTCTAAATATTTAGCATCTTTTAAAAATTGTTGAGATATTTTAAAGTAATTACTATTTTTTACAGGAAAACTATTTTGATTAAAGAAAATTAATTATTATTTACAATTATTTACTGAAAAGATATGGATATAAAGACCGCAGTTTTAGAATGCAAATATAATTAACTGCAATAAAACGAAAATAAAATAATACGACTTAGTTATGAAATAAACAACACCGTTATGGATTATCTTAAACAAAATGATAAATTCCATTTCTCTTTTTGATCATCAATCATTCGATTATTATAAGCGGACAGATAAAAAAAAAGAGTTGTATTGACCGCAAAATCTGATTGCCTCTTTCTCTGTCTGTTTCCTTAACAGTACGAACTAAACGAAAGAAGAAGCAGCCACGGCCGCTATATAGCATCGAATATTCGCAACCCGAACCACCGGTGCAGGATGACAGCGTGTCACCGAAACCGATGACGCCGCGCCGGGTGAAGCGACGTTCCGTAATCTCACGGGATAGCACGCGACGTTCCAACACGCGGCGCAGCTCAGTACGCCAGTCTCGCCGCAAGAACCCGGTGAACCGCATTATGGACCACCAGGAGAGTCTATACGCGAACACGGTCGCACCCTGCATCGGTAACCTGACGAACCAGAATGTCAGCTCGCTGTCGCAGGGCACGCTCAACTACGACAGGATCGCAGTTGGTTGGGACCGTGAACGGAACGCTGATCGGAACTGGCAGTCGGAGGCGGTGAACATAGCAGTATCATCGCCAATTCTATGGCCCCCAACCACCCAGGACTCCTCCAACAATTATTCGAACGCTTCGCCTAGCTTCCCGGCTGGTCAGAGCCCGCCCGCTGGTTGGGACCATCAGCATCCGACCACCAGCTCCACCCGCAATCTCACCGACAATTGGCAGACGTCACCTGGCGAGCTCAACCCGATGCAGTGGCAGGGTCAAAGCAATCCTACGTTCCAGCAAACCAGCACGCAAAGCCTAAATGGCGAGGACATGGAGGAATTGTACAGCAATCGGCCGGCCAGCGCTAGGTCTAGCTATAGCAATTATCATGGCGTTAGAGCGACACCACAGGTGCCTAATCGCACTGACGTTGTCAGACAAAGTCAGCGACAGTTTGTCCTCAGTGGACCGCCCGCTTATCAAGATACGGTAATCTGATACTGACTTGGAGTAATCTGAGGTGTACGCCTTGCGTTGAAGACAATGTCAAGATAATTTTATTGCAAACGATAAATTGGCCTTATACAATCGTCTGTTGTTTATCAGATACAGTAAGTGAGAAAATCAATCGTAGATAGAATGAGTGATAATGTTCATCTTCGCGAATGAAAATGGCACTATTTTTGATAGCGCTAGTCGCGACGTCTTCAACAAGAAGCGAAAATATGAAGACTTAAAGAAATCGCAGTAATGTATTATTTTCTTATTGTCCGTATTTCAAGTTGTAATAATTTCAAACAGCTGTTTTAACTATTTCAATAATTATATCATAGTTAAAATGATTGTTTGACAATGAACTAATGATAGAAAATGGAGCAAGCGTTGTGATTTCGCCGACTTCAAAGCTTTACTTAATATGGATTGATGCGATAGATCTCTACTAGTGTTGCATCGTGTTGTATTATCAAAGTAACATCTATAGATAACTTTACTTAAAGACTTGAAGAGCTGTTATTCACTCTCTCCAGTCGTTTCGCAATATTATTTTAAAGACCAAGTGGTATACGTTTATTGCCGATTTAATAGACTATAGATGATTGACGATAAATTCGTTCAGTTGACATGATATGAAATTATCTTGAAAGTGGCGTAAGTCAACTTTTAGATAATTTCATTAAATTGCACAGACTTGCAATGTATGTATGTACATATATTAAACTTACGTCACTTTCAAAGTAGACAATGAAAATTGCCTTCTCAGGTGATCATCTAACCGTGTGTGAAATTAATGTACTTAAGAAGTTTAAAGCAGATCAAAATCATAATAGCATTAGAATTTTTACATGTTTTCTTTTATTTTTCTTTCTGTTGTTAAAAAGGTTTTTTTTTAGGAATTTTACACTTATCATCTTCATCCTATTTATATTATAGAATTAAGGATCCTCTTGTTCTGCGCATAAAATCAAAAGCTCACCGCATCGTTTGTAAATATAGATGTATAATCACTTATCACTTTCAAAAGCGTATTATTGATAACACTATACAATGACGTAATTTTATTAATAATTTTTTTTTAAAACGATCAGAGCGGCTTATGTTATTTTGAATACTTTAAGGCAATACGAAATTAAAAGATATTTGCCTTTTTGAGATTTGTTTTTAAATTAAAATTTTTTACAATTTATACAACTTATTTATATTTGGATTTATACAACTTACTTATATGTACATTTGAACATATAAATATGATTATGCGACAGTCTTCCAAATCCATTATCTTAGAAGATAAAAATTGATGCGATTCGTCTCTGTGTGCATTGAATGACAAATAGTGACTCATAAAATAATAATGACAATATTATACTGCGTGCACTACTACACGTACGTAATACAATATCAGTGCACTATTTCATAATGTTATGAAATAATATAGTTATTCGTATATATTCTCTAACAAATTGAAATTGCGCCTAAATCAATCCTATTTAATTCATAAGTCATTTTGCTCAAGATACTCTTCTTTGTGAGATTCTGTTAAAATTTGGACTTTCCCAAAGTGCCAAAAAGTTTCATTTTAGTAGTGAAATTTTAACTTATTTTTATTATTCGATGTCATAAAAAGATGGTGAGTCTCAAAAAATTGATTAAAACTTTTATTTTCTGTGAATTGAAAAAAATTTATATTGTATAAAATATTTTTCTTGATCTTTTCTTCATCTAAAGACATAATTTCTTTTATTGTTTATGTCTTTCATGCAATAAGTGTTAGTTCATCTATAAGTACGCCAAGAATTAGAAAGGAGATAGAAACCAAAGTGTTAAATATCAATATATAAGTAAGATCTATTAACTTTAAAACTGCCTCAGCTGTTCTGGTTATTGTACAATTTAGAATTAATTCTGAGATTTGTTGGATCAAACAAAATGTCAGTTACTTCATACTGATTATACTTATAAGAATCTCATAATTTTCTAATTGTGTAACATTTGAATTAGATGAGTATATTTACAAGTATAGTAGAATAGCTTCTACGTACAGAACAGCTATGTTATCGATTGCAAAACATATTTATATTGCATATCGCAATTATATCGGTGCATTATGATTTATTAAGATGCCTTCTCGTATGTCGCAGTTCGCATTACTTATTGCATCATGCAGTTTTAAATAATAGAAATTTAGAGTTAATTGTTTGGATTACATACAGTTATTCAGTATAAGAAATTACAATCGAGATTTACAGTTATTACACAATATATTATATCATTATGTAACAATTGCAAGACAATAAATGATAAGTGTTCATTACCCTATTTTTCAATTTTAATAATCCGTAATTAATTTTTCATTCTACACTGTTCTATCGTTTAAAATTATATTATATAGAAAATATTGTATTTATTCTTATACAGCACAAAAACTTGCAGCAATGTTATTGCAACATTTGCAATATTACTACATGTTATTGCAACATTTGCAACGTTACTACAATATTGCTGGTTTCAATTGTATATTATTTGTTTTATTTTTTGTTATACAATATATGGTATAAATTTAAGTAATTGAAGTGTATGTGCTTGTGATGTGTCAAAATTATTTTATTTAGGCATTATTTTATTTATAGGCAGACTTTCTTCGAGATAATATTGATGCCATTTCATGGTTTTGCTTCCTGGGAAATAAATCGTACTAATTATACGCCGACCTTTGACATTTTCTGGATCAGCTATAGCGAAAATTTATACCATCCCTAAATCGCGCATGTCCCGCCGGCCGGCCTTCCCTGCTTTCTGTGCGACCCTCAATGCAGTAGATACTGGCTGCCGAGACGTTGAGGGTCGTCTTTCGCTGGCGACATCGTTGTCGCAGACAAAATTACAACTGGTGATTATTTCGACGATATATCAATCGAGAATTAAATAAATAAATCTTGGAGTTGGAAAAGTTATAATTTAAAGTGTGGATCAAACAGTATAGGAATAAGTGAGCATTTTGCGTTTTAAAGTGCAAAACGCTGGATACCTATTCGTTGCGATATTGATCAGAAAATTTGAGTCCTCAAAAGGAAATTTTATGATCAAATATTGATGTGTGAAATCTAAACTATAAACATCTTTTGAATAGAACAGTTCGATTTTTTTTTTAATTATTTTTTTCATATTGTTTACAATTTTCTAAATTATGGTGAATTAATTGTGGTTGTTTTAAATTAATGTCATCGAATACAATTTTAGAAAATTATTAGTGAGTATTTTAACATTGAAGGTGGTAGTGATGCAAGGTGTCAAAATGCTGAAGCTCGTGAGAATCGGAGAAAACGGGCTCAGAAGATTGCATTGTACTAGCAGGGTAAGAATATTTCGTGTAAAATATACGAAGGATTTAAAAGCGATGTTAAATAACAGAAATTCTCGAAATATGCATTCACTCAAACGCTAGTACCTAAATATTAAACATGGCGTTTACGGAAGAGTATTACGCAGTAATGGAAATATACTTAAAATTCGTTATTAATACAATTATTAAGCTACATTAGATCTTATTTGTTACGTTATGATTTAGATTTACGCTCTTAAGGTGTATCAAGAAAGACGACTGATTCTCGTCGACTACAACCACGTGGGTAACGGCAATGGCCTATATCGGAGACAAAAATACTTTGACACATAGCTCTCATACGTCTATTATGCCAACAAGACGCTCGATTTAGACTATTGCAGTTAATAACTCGTGCACGATAAATGCCGATAATTACTAAGAATAATATAATTAGTACATACTATAATTATTTGACTGACCGTTTATGTATTTTTAACTGTAATCATATTATACTCATATTATAATATATTACATAATATATTAATAAATTTAGATTCAAATTATCTTCTTCTATCTGTCTTGGAAAAATTCAATAATTATATCTTGAAAATTATAAAAGAAACATTTGTTTATTTATTTATTTCTTTGTTTTCCGGAGTTCTTAAGAGATATTCGGATTTTATTTTTAAAGAAACATATGTATCACTGAGATATAAAAAGCTTATGATTAGTATCGATTATATAACAAAATGTATAGCAAGAGTGACGAATCTCGCTTTCTAATCTAGTCTGGTTTTCAATTCTCATTACGTTTATGTATACAAGCAATTCTAACTGATCCGAATTAAAGTACACGTGACAGGTTTCCACTTAGAACTTATACTATGATGTTGATTCATTGGAAGATCAATACAAAGCTGCCTAGCAACCAATGCGATCTCTCTTATACGACCACCTCGAAATACTTAATTCAGAGAAACTGTTCTAAACAGAATCTATTTGAAACAGTAACAATAATTTCCCGGCGATACAAATATATTTTAACATGTGAACAGTTTCATTGTAAAATTTAAATTTCATGAAGAAATAAGCAACTATATATATTTTGAAATAAATATATAATTTCATCTATTTCTTAAATATAATTATAAATTTTAAAAATCTTTGTGCGTTTCTATGCTATGTTGAATAATAATTTGTCAACTGTAGTTTTATAATCAAATATTGTTTTAGTGATTCGCCATTTAATTTTATGCAATAGGAAGTAGTTATAATTTTCTTTCCTAATAATCAAGATATCTACTATACAAGATATCTACTATTTTACAGAAACGTGCTGCTATATCATCCACGAGACTTGAAAAATCAAAGTATTTGAATGCCGCGTCTGTTGGAACTGCAGCGAAATTAGAACATTCTCAAAAACGGTAGGAAATATTTTTACATTATTAGTTTAATTCTCTAAAAAGAATTAAAAAATGTGGAAAGATATCAACAAATTGATAAATCTTTTTACAAGTTATTTTTCTAATAATAATATTCTTTTTATATAAATATGTAGCATAAGAATTCCTTTCAACATCTTTAATTATTCGGTCGTAGAAACATAAACGTAACACTAAAACGCGTCATTTGAACTCGAATGAATGAGTATGATAACTTGCAAACGATACCAATGTGCTTAGAAATTGTTTTCTATAGAAGGCATAGTGATCATCGTGCAACAACTTTAACGATGCAAATGGTATACCGCAATTTATTGACCTATCACAATTGATTAGGTCAAGCGTCGTTATTGTCTATCATTTAAGCGCGTTCAGCAATATATGATTTCTCAGATCGTGATTTTATCTGTCGCTGAACTGAAGCAGAGGAATCTCTTGAGATCGCAAAACAAAATGTCATAAATTGTAAAATATTCTGAAAAGGATAAATTTTTTGTGATAATATTAGTCCATGTTTCTTTCATCCGGAATTACTAAAATCAAAGCAATGGACGATTTCGAATTTAGTGGTCATTACATTGACGGCGATTTCCAAGAATTACCATTAAGAGCGTTTCGGTAAGATTATTTTATTTCTAAAAATCTCTAATTAATAGATTTACCTATTTGCTAGAATGAATTAGAATTTTGAAGCTTTGCTACAACATATATATTAAACATGTCATTAAACATTAATCCTTTTATAAAAGAATTCTTTAATGAAAGAACAAACTAAATTTAAGAGTTATAAAAAATAATAAAAAATAACGCACAGAAAGGCGAAAATAAAAACGATTTTAAAGTAAACTCAGAATAGAAAAATAGATTCTTAACTTTACAATATAAACATTTATATATACTTCAGACTTACCTCTTTTTATGTAGTTTTTAATAAAAATTTTTATTAAATATTGTACATATATATTTAATACTTTAATTGTTGTATAGCTTTAATCATTGTATAGCTTTAATCATCGTGTGTGTGCATCTACAATGGATCTCAAATATAAATTCTCTTTTGATCCTTCCATCTTTTCCTCATGCAGAGCTTCCTATTTTAGCTTTAATCAACTCTAATATACTAAGCAAGTATTTATTACTGATTTCTGTTTGTTGCAATTGTTCACCATTGAATGCAAATTGTACGTAACTTCTGACTCCCAAGATGTCATCTGTTTCAATCTGACGCAAATGGAGATATTTTAAGATGTATTTTTACCTCTGTGGGGGGTAAACGAAGGTCGAAATTATTTTCTTCTTCTCGGTTATAAAAACCCCGGTAATATCTGCGACGGAATAATCTTGCAAACCAGTCAGCAAAACATTTCTTCACATTCTGCGCGAGAAGTCAGTTACATTTAACAACGCTATAAATTTTTTGAATTATATTATGTGAAGAAAACTAGAGTATTGTGTTTGTGATGTGTGTAATTTAAAATATTCGCCAACATTTATGTTGACTTAATAAAAAAAACGTCTAAATGTAATAAACATACAGAAATAATAAATAATAGCTGAATTAAACGAAATTTAACTAGACATAAAAAATTATAATTAATATCGGAGAGACTTATAATTACATTTTGCTGATTTTTTTGACAATAAAACAATTTACAAAATTGAAATAAAAGTTTTAAAGAACGACAATCACTATGCCTTACATCGAAGCAATCGATTGCGATTCCAAAGAAACCTCTAATCTCCAGTTGGCTAAACTTTCCGAAGATTACGCGATTAAATCGAAAATTGCGTGTTCAATCTGGGTAGAGAAGAAAAATGATCAGTCCACCCGGATGTTGGCGCGATTTCTTAGGTAACAATCGCATTAACAATTATTATTGTCATCACTAATGCAGAATTGTTTGTCTTGCTTTTCATTACAGCGACTACAGCTTCATTCATGACAGCCACTATATGTAGTGAGTACTATGCGGTACATCAATGCATGGCGTGATATAAATACCTCATTAACAGCACAGCATTTAATATTTCATGCATTTCGTTAATTACAATTTCATTAAAGATAATAACTTTATATCTAATGTTTTGTTAATTTTTGTTAAAATAATCAATTTTATCATTTATAATATTTAATGCACGGTGAGTTTCATTCTTATGATCGTAAACGCACGATGATTTATAAATAAAAAATAGAATGCATTTATTTTACAATATCTAAGCAATGTAAGAAAACTTATTGTAAATAAAATAGTAAATGTAATAATTTATGTCATGATTTTGTTATTTATGATTTAAAAAAAAGAAGAATAATGGTGAAAAAAATATCCATTGATTATATTAGTTTCAAACACGTTATTTACTATTATTTAATAATTAATATTTTACAGCACTCGGGATCAAGATCAAGCAACAAATGCCGAAGATGTTTTATTCGATATGTTCAAGAACGAGGAAACTGGTCTTATATCAGTGGGAGAGTTTTTAGCTGTATGTATGATGTAACATATTTTCACAGAAATATATGTATATTCGTGAATTAATTATTAAATAATAAAAATTTATATTTATATTAAATTTGTTCAAGGCTTTAAGGATAACCGGCTTACGGAAGAATGATCCTCGACTTCAGGAATTTACGGACAATCTTAAGAAAGAGCACGTCAAAAATAGTGATCGCACTAAAGCTATATCACATGAAACACAGAAGTTAGACAGAGAACAATTCAGAAGGTAAATCTATAATTTCAAAAAATAATTTATGTATATATCTTAAATATTTATAATATATTATATTATGTTTAATTTTATATTAAATATCACATTTATATTTGAGAATGCGAAATTGCTTACTTTTACTAGATATTCTTTATATTGAAAAATATATAATCTTTTACGTACAATGTTTAAATATTAAGGAAGAAAAACTTAGTTTGTAATAAATATCTACGATAAATATAACAATGTCTTTAATTCCTTACTTTTTTTCTTTTTTTTAGAATTATAAATCCCAATATCGTTCTGATCTCGCGAGCATTCAGGCACCAGTTCATAATTCCCGATTGGTCAGGTTTTACGAAGCACATCGAGGATTTTTATTGGAAATGCAAAACGAACACCGAGGGCAAGGTCGCCTCTTATATACCTCAGTTAGCCAGAATGAATCCAGAATATTGGGGCGTATCTGTGTGCACCATCGACGGTCAGCGATTTAGCATTGGCGATACCACAATACCGTTCACCCTTCAAAGTTGCAGCAAACCTTTGACCTATGCAATAGCCTTGGACAGGCTGGGTCCAGAAGTGGTGCATCAATACGTTGGTCAAGAACCATCCGGTAGAAATTTTAATGAGCTTGTACTCGATCATGGCAGTGAGTATTAATCAACTAATGCAATCTGAATAATAATAAAAATAATGAATAAATTAAATTAATGTAAATTGAAAAATTCGAAAAAAAACAAGTATGCAAATAATATTTAAAATTTTGCTTTAAAAAATTTTGACTTATACGATCAACTTCTGACATAAATGATATGTTTATAGAGAAGCCACACAATCCAATGATTAACGCTGGCGCGATATTGATCTGCTCACTTTTGAAAACATTAGTTAAGCCAGAAATGGGCTTGGCAGAAAAATTCGATTTCGCGATGAACTGTTTCAAGAGATTGGCCGGTGGTGAGACTCTTGGTTTTAACAACGCCATTTTCCTGTCGGAACGAGAAGCAGCTGACCGAAATTACGCTTTAGGATTTTACATGAGGGAGCACAAATGTTATCCAGAAAAAACGAATTTGCAGGAAGTTATGGATTTTTATTTTCAGGTAAATATTACTTCTCTATATGTAATTATATTAAAGCAATTTAAATTAAAATACGTTTTTTCCAATTATTAAGAATTGAAATTTTTAAAGAATAAGAATCAGAATTGAGATTTTAGGACTACATGATAATATATCATTTTTATGCTTTTTGTAAAATGCGAATCTTCTTTAAATTTTTTAACACAACATGTTAACATATTTTAGTATAATTCAATTATGCCATTCAATGTTACGTGTTTACAATATCAAAACAGACCACGTCTATTTCTATTTCTCCTGCGTAAGCAATATTCTGACAATGAATTAATTTTATTCTTATTGGCAAGTGCTGCGCCATGGAAGCAAATTGCGAGACGATGGCGGTAATGGCAGCCACCTTAGCAAACGGAGGTATTTGTCCAGTTACCGAAGAGAAGGTTCTAAAACCAGACAGCGTTCGCGATGTTCTGAGTCTCATGCACAGTTGCGGCATGTACGACTATAGTGGTCAATTCGCGTTCAAAGTGAGTTAAACAGATAAATACGTACGTGAATGCTTGTGTAATATCTCTGGAAATTTAAATAATAAATGATTCAAACAACATAAAATTAAAACACTTTTTGAATCTCCATAACAGGCAATTATATATTTCCATAATTATCATAATTTAGTATGAAAATTTATTGTGTGTCATTTGACTATATATTAATTATTAATTATTAATTATTAATTATTAAGTACAAATAATTTATCTACTGTCTATATGATGCCAATAACATCAATGTAAAAGTTAGATAGAATCATTGCTACATCGAAAAACACTATATTTTATTTTAGGTTGGCATACCAGCGAAATCCGGTGTATCAGGAAGTCTTCTCGTGGTAATTCCAAATGTCATGGGAATTTGCACATGGTCACCACCTTTGGATCCACTTGGCAATTCCTGTCGTGGTGTGCAGTTCTGCGAAGAACTCGTGCAAGAATTTAACTTTCATAGGTGATGATACAGTTATTAATTAAAAATTATTTGGAACTTATAAAGGAAACTGATCAGCGAATATGAAAAATTATTTTATCTTTAAATTGTTTTGTTTTTTAATTAAATATTTGATATAATTTTAAAATTTAAATGTACTACATAGACGTTTTTATCATAAAATATTATTTTAAATTTATCTTACAATTAGTTTTCTATTTCTTATAATTTTGTGTCATTGATGTAGACATCACATAATCGAAACTGAAACTTCTCTTTCTTTATTCTGTCTTTTTCTCATGTTGTTCAGTTATTTCATGTATTATTACAGGTATGATAATTTGAAGCACGCAACGAATAAGAAAGATCCTAGACGGCACAAATACGAAACGAAAGGTCTCTCGATCGTTAATCTTCTGTTCAGTGCTGCCAGTGGTGATGTCACAGCGATGAGAAGGTGAGATTACTCTTTTAAGAACCTGTTTAAAGATGAACGTGTAGACATTTGTGTGCGTTTTTTATCACATAACATTTTTATTACATAATATTTTTGTACTTGAAAAAATTTGAACTATTAACGTAAAATGACGAAGGAAAGCAATTAACATTTTAGAAGATTACAATTACATTAGTTTCAATTATTATTAAACGCTTATAATTTCAGACATCGATTGAGTGGGATGGACATGACATTGTCAGATTACGATGGCAGAACCGCGTTGCATTTAGCCGCTAGCGAAGGTCATCTAGATTGCGTCGAGTTTCTAATCGAGCATTGCGGAGTCCCACATGATCCCAAGGATAGGTACGACATGAGTTGTTCTAAGATCAAGTTACAATGATTAATTTAATTATTTTAACAATTTATAGTAACGCATTTTTATCGATCATTATTACGAATAATTGGTCTTTTACAAATCGATCGTTTCAAAGAACACTTTATTTTATATCTGAAATAAAAAAGATTATACATTTCCTCTTTTTTTCTAATTGTTATTTATAAATTATTTAATACATTCAAAGTTAATGTTTCCTAAATAAAAATTTAATTACTCTTTGCACTTTTTTAAAATAATTTCTTTAATGTGATATTTTTTATTTATACCAAAATTAGTTTTTATATATTTCTTTGCTTTTATATTCTTACATTTTAATGTTTTTTTATTTAACGATATTAGCGGATTAAATAAAAGTAAAAATTGCTTTGACAAACACATACAATTTATTTTTTTCATGCAACTGTATTTGAAAATATTGTATACTTAGATGGGGTAAACGACCAGTCGACGAAGCTGAAACTTTCGGGCACATGCAGGTGGTGGAATATTTGAACAACTACGCTCTTGTTCGTAAGACCGAGCTAGAGAACAAACAGGACGAGTGTATCGATAATGACAACGAGTCGTGTCGTAAACCACCGGAAACGGCAGTACAGCCGTGAATAATAATATAAGCGATGACGAATTTACACAAAACTGGAAGAATCGAGGGTAAGGGTGGGAACATCAAGGACCTATGTGAGAGCTATTGAATAGAGGAAGACGTGAGACAACGTATCGATCGTAATAATAGCAAAATGAGGTCGCAAACAAAGTACGTTTTTATTCTATATAATAAGATATGTTTGAATATTATATTATTGGAATGGTACTACACGTAAATAATATAGAATTATTCTATAATTATTTTTATAATAATTATTTGTAATTAATGAACACATATTTTTCATTCAACAACTTTAATACAAAAAAATTTACAGCCCTACAGACAATAACGAGGAACAATAATTTTCTCATTTTTTGGATCTGTGACCTCGTTCTACTTCGCGCGATAGAGTTATCTCAGTGTCCGATTAAGAATTACTGTGATTAATATTACGTCTTTTTTCCATGATTTAGTTTAGTATTAAAAGACCATAAAGTTCGTTTTATTATTTTATTAATTTATGCTTCACTTCCACCTCATTCTTTACTATTACATATACATATTTATATTTGCTCTAAGATACACTTCGATATTTCTTCATATTTTGAATGTAAATGCAATAGCAATTTCCAATTTACATATCAGGTCAATAAAAGTACAAACCAAGTATTGTCTGATTCATAAGTTTAAAATATTTTTAATTTGGTCTTCAGGTTTAGTAGAATGTTTTTTATATAGTTATTTACTTAATAGATCACAAAAGACAGCATGTTTTACATTGCAATTTTGAGATGAGCCATTTTCTGATTATACTATTTATTACATTACGTGTGACAAGGCAGAAATGATTTCTTTTGTCTTTTTACGCAAGAAAGTCTGCCTTAAAAACGAAAGAAAGGGTATTCCAGAGTTAAATTTTTGGATCAATTTGTTCGATAAGACAATGTATTTTGGGTGACGAAACAGCAAAATATATTAACACAAAGAAACGTTTGTGTCTAAAATAAGAATCATGAAAATCGAAAAATCTAAATAAGTATAGACTAGTTAATAAAGGTAAGTTATTTATAAGAGATATTCAATTTTTCATATTCAATTTTTCCGTTTTTTACTTTTTCTTTTTCTTATGTTTAAATTTATTTAATTTAAATAATATAAAAATAATTTTTAAAGATATTAAAGATACATTGCTTTGACACAGTGGCGCTTATTACTTCTCCAATTACTCGAAATAGTAATTTATTTGTCTACACTGGTACATAAACGCACGGATAATGATCCAATCGGGAAAAACAGATGTTATCTCGTAGAGATTCTTCGTAACAAATCGCGCGTGAATCGTGTGTTAAACATATCTTTCTAAGTGTATTTTCTTAGTAGTTTTAAAGGTTCTTCAATGATATGGAATCGACGGTATATCCGTCTTATAGAGAGAAATACTATTTCGCAAGTCAATATCAGAGAAACTTTTGAAAAGAATTAATTTATACGATATCTTAACGCATATAACATTTTATTATAAACAAATGTCTCACTTTTCCTCACTGTATTTTTAATGTATACAAAGTATACGTGTATGTTAAAAACTAGTTACTATTACTATTTATTTTTTTGATTTTTTTATCTGTCATTTTGAGAAGAACAGATCTATGAAGATAATTTTTATGTTATTGACCATGAAGAATTTGGCATTGATGTGTGAGAAACGAAATGTTACTATAATCTATCTTCCGCGTATCATCTACTATGATATAGAATAATATATACGTTGTTTCCATAGTTAAACGGATAACGCCAATTCCGAGTGCAATTATGTAATTCTTTCTCAAATGTATAAGCGAATACTCGTATCGCTAGTTGTTACTGCGCTATATAAATGTGCCGACAGATGTAAAAAAGGCTGGAAAAGTCAATTTTTCGCAAATGCGTTAACTAATGATTACGCTAACGTAGCGATCATATGTATAGTCTACGTATGTTAGATAACTATTTTCGCAATGAATTAGTTAGAGTCGCTTTGCGTAGAGAAAATCCTGATCTTATATTTTGATGAAATGAACAATGACAATAACATTATTATACATATGTGAGAACATAATCTTCATATGAGAGGTGGAAATATAATAATTAACTTAAAAAAAGATATACAGCATAAAACTATTTCTAATACATTTTGAAAAATAATAATTTTGTACATGATCCATTCATGAGAATTAGTTACAGTATTAGTAGATATGCAATAAGTTTTACGAAAAACCTTTACATATTTTTTTATGATTGTATATATCGTAACATTTGCGTTTGTAGTTACGCTGGGGTTTTTAATTAAATAATTATTAAAAGAGATTTAATTATCTCAAATTTCTTACTTCTAAAAAAAAAGATTTTATTTGTAAATAGTTGTAAGTAATTCGTGTGATTTTCAACCCAAACCAAATATTGCGTCCATCTCTGTATTTGTTTGTTTATGAAATAAAATATAAAATAAAAATAATCTGAGCCTCCATCTCTCTTTATTTATCATAAATATTACATTTGCTTTTTAATATTAATAATGTTCAATTAATAATAATAAATATTAATAATAATTATATAATTTAATCTGTAGGTACTAATCTTCTTGTTTATTATAAACATTTATAATGTTATATGTAATGTATAAATTTAAAATACATTAAATATATAATTAAAAATTAATTATGTATTTAATTTTACATTATAAAGACAATGGAAATACGAAATTTGACGAACAATTGATTACGTAAAAAAATATAAATTGTTCATTATTTATATATTTAAGATGTTAAATTTTGATTTCCGATGTTTTTATTAAGTAATGATGAATGTATCGATCAGATTATCATTAAGTACGCATATTATGATAATGGAGTAATACATATAATGAATAAATCGACAAATAAAATAAATATTAAAGATTTCTTACTTTCATAATATCAACGCAAAGAATATACATCTAAGTAAGATTAGGAAGACGTAATAAATAATAACATTAAAAAATGAAGATTGGCTTTATGACCTCGACATTGCGCACAATGTCAGTGATTTTATACGTCAAACACGTTATACAGGCGCTAATCGGCGCCAAGCAAACGCGAATAATATCGCAATTCAGACAAGTCGCAACAAAATTATTATATTAATGGTTGGAATAGTTTATGTTTATTTAGTTGGAATAAGTTGCGCTGAAAAAGATGCATTCACGTATCTACAATAAATGAATACAACAACCGATATTATTAATTAAAGAAACTGCATTGTAATTATATAAAATGTTAAGATCAAAGTCTCAATCTCCATTTTTCAAAATTAATAAAAACTATCAAATATGAATAAAAATCTTTAAAAAGTTTATATTGTATTAATGACAAAGATAAATACATATTTAAAGTGTAGTTTAGTAATTATTGAAATTTCATTTTACATATATTAGTACATTGCGAGTACTAATGGGATCTGTAGCTGAAAAAGTGAAAATATTTACCTTTTTCTTTATATTTTAAAGTGGAAGTATCATGTTAAATCCGCAAAGTTAATACTTCATATTTTCAATTTTCGTTTTTTAATATAAAAATTACGGAACTTTGTTTTATTTTTATAAAAAATGATAAAACTATAAAAAATGCTATTAAAACTGTCATTATCTTTTTTTCTAAATTAATAGACTGTCGTCTGCTAACTTCGCAGATCTCACTTTTGAGTTTAAAAGAAATAATGAAAGTTTCAGAAATATTTTTCAGAGAGAGAGAGAGAGCAAGAGAGAGAGAGAGAGAGAGAGAGAGAGAGAGAGAGTTCCTTATCAAAATAAAAAAGAATACCGCATATTTCATATTGAAAAATCAAAATTGAAAGAATTGCAGCCGGAACTATGTTTAAAGATAATTGTAGAGTATAGATCTCTGTTAGTACTAACAAGAAACATCGCTAGAATTGCGATAAATTATCAGCATAACACTTTTTCTTCGAGTGTCGTGCTGTCTTTTATATATTATGGAATAATTTTATATATCATCTCTTGGATGTAATACTCCTAAATAGGCTATTAGTCCTACTTATCTCAATTTCTCTCTTTTTACATATGCAAATAAAAGAGAGACAATAAATCAATTATCATATGCAAATAAAAGAGAGACAATAAATCAATTATAATACTAACATATAAAATTATTTATATCTTAGAAACGGTTAAATATTCAATTTATGTTCAATCACTAGGCTTTTTTACTTACAATTCAGTATGGTGTGTACTATCTACCATATAAATGCTAAATGATTTTTAACACCCATATATATATATATATAAAACTTTAAATTAATTTTAGAAATGAATTAGCATCTAGATTGAAATAGCATATAATATATGATACGCTATGTACTGTAATTTCTGTATATGCCGATGACATTAATAACAACTTAATTCTGAACAATGGATGATTAATAGTTCGCTGCCCACGAGGGGAATACATGAGTTACGTCATTGTTCGTTGTGTAGTTCGTTGTCAAGTATAGTGAATACCGATGATATCGCAGTTAAAGCACAGTAAGTAGTTGGATTTTCCTAACCAACACCAAATTTTATTTTACTGAGCTGTAATATGTGAATCATTAAAAATACTCGAGATTTTTATTTTGCATTCATTATACGTAATATTGATTTCTGTTTCCATTTATTTAATTTTTACTTATTCATTTTACGGCATCTATCGAATCATGCTTTCTTGAATCATGTATCTTTCTTTAGCATATCAAATTATGAATTAAATTACTAATTAAATTTCTTATAAATAAATTTTTCGATTTTTTTATTTAATTTTTATCAAAAATATCATTATGTTCAATATGTTATAGTATAAATATATGCTGTTAACATTTTGTAAATGTTTGTATGCATAATTTACAGTAAAATATAAAAAAATTAATAACAAGTTTACCTTGGCTACATCATGGGGATTCCCCAATTGTTGAAATGCATAACTGGTCTCGTGGACCAGTTAATATGAAACTGCAACGTAAAGATTTAGAAAGTTATAAGTTAAAAATAAATTTACACTCAGGAATCAAATAACTTCATCATTCGTCATTATGATGGCGCAGATTGAAATAACGAAATACTACTTGTATAGCAAAGTCGAGATTGGGTGATCATCATGTATACGAATATCTGCTTATGATGATGACGACGAGGCCAACATATTATCGTCATAGATAATTTATTTTCTGGTCACTTGAGTATACTTGGAATAAGATCAAGCTCCGTTTGATTATTCAATTAATTCTGAGAAACATTGTTTTTAATTCACAATCAATGGATTCCCCTTTTCTAAAACAGGAAAATTTATAATTGATTATGTAAGAAAGTTACGTACATTATAATAAATTTAGTACATAAAAAATTCTCACATTATCTTATTGTTTACTTTTCTTTCTCAGAAATTACTAGAGTTTCTTTATGAGTAATAACATTTTTTTATATTACGTATTTTAAATTTCACTTCGATATACGTATATTTCAACAATTTTATTCATAAATAAGACGAGTATAACTGAATACCATAAAAAAAAGATATACTTCTTTCTTTAATATATATTTTCATAAAATTGGCATAAATAATTTCAGTGTTCAATAATAAATTAGTTAAAACAAGATATACATATAATGATATATTTTGTTATTGAGTGAAAGTTATGATTTTATAAGTTTTACAATTTTTGAGAGATAGAGAGAGAGAGAGAGATAGAGAGAGAGAGAGAGAGATTTCAATAAGTTGTTAATTCTTCGATGACCAGTCATTGAACCTGACCTTGAAGAACCGGAATGATACAAGTTTCGTAAGAAAGAAGATAGACTTGAAGATAGATTCTATAAAATAACTTTGAATATATGACTGGTCAAATCGATGACTGCGTGGTATCGATTGATTGACCAAACATCATTAGTTTTTACAATAAAACTAATAAGTATCTAATAAATGTAAATAATATGATCACTTAAGAATTTCACGACAATTTTGATAAAATATTTGCAAAACCCTTTTAAAAAAATCCTTTTTCAAGATTCTAATTTGATAAAAAAATAATACTATTAAAAACAATAGCATACTAGTTTAAATGTGTGACATAGGATCAAATATTTAATTTGAATTTTAATAGATTAAATACTTTGCAGAAAGGCTTGACTAAATATTTATATTTGAATTTTATATATAAAGTATATGATATAACTGTATAAAATATATTGAATTGAAAGAAGCTTGAACAGAATTAAAAATAAAAGAACCAAATAACATTAAATGTATACATATAAGAAACAAATATAATTATCACAATTATATTTGTTATTTGTGTTAGATTGTGATAATTATATTTGTTTCTTATATGTATACATTTACTTTGTTGTTATTTAGTTCATAGTCTTTCTAAACTTTTATTTTTAATTTGTATTATTGAACCATGTTATATGATGCTTGAACAGAATTTATCTTTCTTTTTCGTCTTAGTATTATATTCTTTCTTTGAATATAAATTCACATCGCCGAAGCTATTAAAATTTGTATGTCAGATCGAAGGAGAGTGTGTTTCGAGGACTGCAATTTTTATTTCCTTTATTTCAAAATATCAGTCCGTTACCGCCATACATTCATTGGTTTTTCCCCTGTGTAATAATTAACTTTTTATATTTTTATATCTTTATTTCTTGTATTGTTATTTTAATAATAATTATTAAGTTTGATCTTTATGAACATTTAACGAATAATATAAGATATCAAAAAAATATTAATATTAATTGTTAATATTATCAATTCTGTTAACTTTTTCGATTACGGCTACATATATATAATTTGTAATCTTTTTTTAGATGCATGGATGAACGTAGACATGTTTCTACGTATAGATATTGGTTGCAATCATTTATGCTAATTTTATAGAAAGATAGACAGAAAAACAATAATTTTTCATTTATTGCGTTTGATTGTCGCTTGTTCGTATTTATGAGCAAAATTTTTTCTAAATTCTTTCTTCGAAATACTTTTTTTTAGAATAATCAACGTAATAAATAATAATTTGTAAAAGACATATCGAATTTAAACAATGTTAAGATGTATTTAAATTAAATGTTTTATAAATTTTGGCATGGAGTAATTATATAAGCGCAGCTTATATTAATTTTCTCTTGCATATTTAACAAAATAATGGAAATGTCTAAAAAATTACTATAGAAAAGTATATGTGTTTTACTTGATTTCACATATATTAAAACAATATTTAAAACAATAAAGTAACAAAATATTTTCAATTATTTATCTTTGAATATTGATTATATCGATGATCGTAGTCATCGATATAAAAAGGAGATAGAATTCAATGAAAACCGTGAACGTGCACGCGAGATGTCATTTTAACTGGTTAAATTACAAATGACTTTGCCACGTCGCTAAGGCTATTTGGAAATCAATATTTTTCTTGTATTAAATTTATTATAAGAGCCAAGAGCTGAGCTTAATAAAAATATCTGAAATTATTTTTTTAGATAAGTAACTTTTAAATTGATCATAAAAGAAAATTGACTTAAATAAATCTAATAACTTGTTCTATTATATTGCTTTTCTCAATTTTTTCCTGCTTCTTATTCTCTTTCTTCTTTTTCTTCTTCTTCTCTGTACTTTTTTGAAAGTTTTATTCACACATATTTATAATTTTTTTAATTAAAATTAATATAAAATCACAAAAACCTCTTATTGAATTATTTCTGTTCAACCATTTTTGAGTAGACAAAAAGGAATAATTCGGGATTGAAAATATGTCAAACACTTCGCCGAAATAGCGGTTCTTGATAATCGATTCTGTTAATGATGATATAGTAGCAAAATTTTGTCATTTAATCAGTTTTTATCAGTCATTTCCAAAATCACAGATACTTAATAGAAAGATTATATCTAACTCTAAAATTGCACTAGTTACTGATGTAAAAGTATGAAACTTCCAAAACGTAATGTTTCTTGAGATCGGCATCGATTTCATGGAAATGAAAAATTATAGAAAATCCTAAACGGAGGCACTCGATAATACTGAAGAACGTAATGGGAGAAAAAGAGAGGGTCAATTATTATCCGACGTAAAATCCACGCGAATGTCGTATATAAGATGTTGTCCTCGTACGAGAGCTTCAGTCGCTCTTGACTCTCTGACCATCGAGATATCGGCAAAACAGACAAAACAAGGAGGATTACTGTGTGTGATAGGCAAATTATTTATTTGCGAAAGTGGAAACCGCCATGAAGTTATTTAGGTGTTTAGTGCCAGTAGTGGTGCTGCTATTGATTAAGAACTCCTCTGCGAGACCTGGTGAGTTTTAAATTATAGGGAAGTTTTTTTCCCCTTTCATTTATGACTAATTGAAAGGAGTATTATTGCGCGTTAGATTGGTTTCCAGATATTTATGTAATGATGACATAATGTCTAATTTGAGAGAATTATGTTATACCAAAATGGTTTCTGCTTCTTTCGCAAAATTAAAAAAATTAATTAACTATCAATTTTTTCCTATAAACTTATATATTATTAACCTTATGAGTTATCTAATAAATTTTTTGAAAGAATTAATAGATGTGTATGTGTGAAAGAGAAGAAATTGCAAAATATAAAAAAAAGTCGTAAATAATGTTATCATTCAATACTTTCGATAACCTTATAATATTTTCTTTATGAAGGTGTGTTAGGCGATTTGATCGGTGAGAACGTTGGTAGATTGCTGGATCCATTGGGAGTATTCAGGCCTAAAAGTAGCAATGCCCACTCCAGCAGCAGTGCTCAGGCATTGGGAGGAAACGTGAATTTCGGACCTATCGGTATCGGTGGTGGATACTCCTCAGCTTCGGCTGATGCGTCGGCGAATAGTGACGGTGGCTCAGCTTCGGCTTCAGCCAAAGCTGATGCTCATGCTAACGGATATGGAGGATACGGTGGTTCGAACGCGAATGCGCAAGCATCCGCTAGTGCTAATGCACAAGGTAGGCTTGCATACCTGATATACATAAAACATATTTCTATATAGTTTTAAAACAACTTCTTTTAAAACATGAGATAAATAAAATATTATGACAATTAAAATAACTCAAACAATAACCAAAGTTTATGGAAAATTCTAAATTTTGAATATTGTGAAGCTTTGTGAACATTTTCGAGTACTTTGAAATATGTCTCCAATGTTTTAGTCATATTAAAATATTTTTTATTTAAGTATATAATATATATATATATATGTATAATCATAATATCTTTAAAATATTATTCAAATATCCCGTGTTTTTATATCTTGGAGATGTTATAAATTTTTAAGATTTTTCTGCAAGATATGTTGACTAAACAATAACATTCCATTTTTAACTGTCTGTAGACACTAGAACTCCGTTTATCTGAATATGTGAAGAGACAAGATAGTTTTGATAACTGAATGACTTGGATAACGGTTCACTAGCTTTCTTCTCTATCACTATTATCACATTTAGTTTTAATAATAGAAGTCGACGTTTAGAAAATTGAAGTTAAGTTCTTATTATTCGAATGTTTCAAATGGCTAAGCTATGAATTCGTATATTTAAAACTGAGCACAAATTTGTTCGTTAAATGGATGAATGGAGTTCTATTATATTTTATTATTTTCTAAGAATAAGCCTTCTTATTTAGATGTTTTTTGTGTTTAAATTTTCATCTTTATTATTATCACTTTTATTATTATCATTGACACGTTAATGACGTGTTTGTAACATAGGTTCTTCGGGAAATCCTGGGGGGTATGTCGACAATAATGGTGGATACAGTTATTACCCTGGCGTTTCTCATCAAGTCAGTCAACCGAATTACGGAAGTTATGGTGGCTCTCAGTCCAGTGCTAACGCTAACGCGAACGCGAATGCCAATGCCAATGGCGGAGGGTATTCTGTTGGTCCCTCTTATTATCCTTCTAGACCTCAAGCCAGCATCGGCAACGCTAATGCTAACGCAAATGCGAACGCGGGTGCTAACGTCTTAAATAGTGGCGGCGTGAATGTGATTCCCAACAAGTATCCTAGTGGAGGAATAGATAAAATAGAAGTAATTCCTGTAAACACACTGCCGCTTTCTCAACCAACTCCTGTCTATTCGATACCTCAACGACTGCCTGGAACTAATAAGGGAAATGTGATTGTCGTTGTCGAGGAATCCCCGCAATATCCGCCATATCATCGTCCGAGTCCTCCTCATCGCCATCATCACCACCGTCAACCGCATTATAGTAAACCAAAACAGCAGCCCATCGAGGTCATCATCATTGAGGAGCCAAGGCCTAATCCAGGTGACACTTCATCATCGAGCACATTCGAAAATCATCGTGCAATTATCGTTGAGATTCTAATGTACTAACTGTGGTGTGGCAGCTCTATGAATTTTCTGCATTATGTTTTTATGTAATTTTTCACGAAAATAATATTATAATTAATGTCGCCTCGCTGTTACTCTCCATGTATTACTCTCTATAGGTATATCTTATCATACGTGCTATAATGTTTTAATAATTAACTGGTCACAGAATTGGAATTGGATAACAATTGGTCACAAAATATTGTGAATCATCTGTTTCTTTGTATATATATCTCATTGTATGTATATATCTCATTTATGTGATTAATGTACACCTCATTTAATGTATTTCTCACTTCGCTAATTGAAGCATTCTGCACAGACTTTACATTGAACGGAAGTCGCATTCAAGGATATGTAAACTAAGAATAAAAACATTTTTCTTACATTTGTGTTATAGTTGAGTTGAAGGTTGACAATCACAATACATTCTTTAACAGAACATTCCTGTAATGACAAGAAACAAGGACGTTGTTGATAATGCATTTTCTTTGTTTTCTTCATCATGACAAGCACTCTAAATGAAAGAAACACGAAATTAAGAATCTGACATAGATTATGCGTGACTGAGACTGAGAGCATGAACTTCGTTACTTTCGTCATGTGATAATTTAGTTTTAGTATTTGTAACAAGTTTTTATATGTTAGATCATATATGTGTAATGTTATTAGTTATATAAATATGATAAAAAAAATAATTTTTTATAATATTTCTTTACAGCTGGTGGCGGAAATGGCGGTATTCAAGGAACGCATCCTGGATATAAAGACAATCCGTTTTTATCCAATGGCGCTGGATCAAACGCTAATGCTAATGCCCATGCTAACGCTCAAGCAAGTGCGAGTGCAAATGGCGGAAGTAGACATAATTATCAACAAGGTGGATATCAGCAAGGTGGATATCAACAAGGTGGATATCAGCAAGGTGGATATCCGCAAGGTGAATATCAGCAAGGTGGACATCAACAAAGTGAATATCAAGGACATCAAAGCGGACATCAAGGCGGATATCAGTCAGGAGGATATCAACAAGGCGGACATCAACAAGGTGGCAGTTATCCAGTAGAATCATCAGGACACGAAAATCCAATTGGCGGTGATAATCCCTTTCTGTATTCCGGCGGACATTCCAGTAGCAACATCGGTGCTAATGCTAACGCAAATGCTGGAGCTGGCGCTATCGCCGGAGAACAACCGATAGGTACCAATAATCCGTTTCTTAATGGTGGCGTATCCCAAAATGTCGGAGGAGGAGGAAACTATCCAGGAAGTTCGAGCGTTTTGAGCGATAAACCCAAAGGGGGGAGCATTTCTTATCCGGGACAATCATCCGGAGGATTCCCTGGCTCATTCGGATTGGGGGGAGCCAATGCTGGCGCCAATGCCAATGCCAATGCCGGTGCTGGAGCCGATAATGTTGGAGGAGGTCCGATCAAACAAAATCCAATAGTTAGCTCTGGCGGACACGGTGGCGGATCTTCGGGAGTTCTTGATGGCTACGAAGGTCACGGATCTAGTCCAAACTTTGATGGATTTGGAGGACAAGTCGGTGGTTCATCTGGTGCTAACGCTAATGCTAATGCTAACGCTGGTGCCACTAACACTGGAGGATCTGGTGGACATGGACCCATTTTCGGAGGATCCGGAGGTCACGGTGGGGGCTCTTTCGGTAATCAAGGCAGTGGATTTGGAACTAATGGTGCAAATATTCACGGTGGACATGCTGGAGGTTCTTCCGGAGCCAATGCTAACGCCAATGCCAATGCCAATGCCGGAGCCGCCGGAACTATTCATGGAACTATCCCTGGAGGATCTGGAGGTCACGGAGGATCCTCCGGATACGGTGGGGGCTCTTTCGGTAATCAAGGCAGTGGATTTGGAACTAATGGTGCAAATATTCACGGTGGACATGCTGGAGGTTCTTCCGGAGCTAACGCCAATGCTAATGCCAATGCCGGAGCCGCCGGAACTATTCATGGAATTATTCCTGGAGGATCTGGAGGTCACGGAGGATCCTCCGAATACAGTGGGGGCTCTTTCGGTAATCAAGGCAGTGGATTTGGAACCGGTGGTGCAAATATTCACGGTGGACATGCTGGAGGTTCTTCCGGAGCTAACGCTAACGCCAATGCTAATGCCAATGCCAATGCCGGAGCCGCCGGAACTATTCATGGAACTATCCCTGGAGGATCTGGAGGTCACGGAGGATCCTCCGAATACAGTGGGGGCTCTTTCGGTAATCAAGGCAGTGGATTTGGAACCGGTGGTGCAAATATTCACGGTGGACATGCTGGAGGTTCTTCCGGAGCTAACGCTAACGCCAATGCTAATGCCAATGCCAATGCCGGAGCCGCCGGAACTATTCATGGAACTATCCCTGGAGGATCTGGAGGTCACGAAGGATATGGCGGTGGTGCTAATGCCAATAGTAATGCCAATGCTAACGCTGGAAGTTTCGGTGGTGGCTCTGGTGGATACGGAAACGATGTTAAAGGAACAGGACATGCCGGAGGACATGGTGGTCAAAGCGGATTCGGTAATCAAGGCGGATTCGGCGGATCAGTCGGAGGAGGTACATATGTGTTTAGATATAAATCTGTGTTGCATGTCTTGTATAATAAACTAAATAAACAATTTCACACATTTCTTTAAAAATTAACGATAAATCCTAAAATTCGGAAAATTAACTGCATAAACACGTAATTTTTTAAATTGCTAACTAACGTAATTACTATTTTATTAGAAATAAGCACAACTTCCTTTAAATTATTATCGTCATTATGTAATACCTTGTTGACGTTTATCTTTGACATACGTAATATTTTAATGCATGTATGTAAATATTCATCAAATGATCATTGAACAAACAATGCCTCTGTCTTAACAATTTCTAACGTATAATTTATCTCGCGTATTACATAAGAGATGAAAATTATTCAGTCTTATATCATAATGGATTAATAACCAGAATTCACGAAAATCGATCCTTCAGCGTCAATACAAAGTCTTTAAATCATAGAATACCAAGTATCACATTGTCATGATTCTAACATTGTCATCTTTCGTTCATGAATTACGAAAACGCCATTGGATGGAACAATGATAAAAGACTCATCCTGCACTCCGATGGATAACCCAGTTAAAAGTTTTACATATGGATATATAAAAGCTCTACATATGATTTATGGAAATATTTTTATATCCATCGGGGATTCATCGATCATAACAGAGCTTTTCGTATTCATTTTTCCACAGACCTAAGCCCCGAGGCTAAGGCATCAGCGTTGTCTATGGCAGAGGCTGTGGCGTCAGGACAGATCATAATTAAATGATTCGCTATCCCGCAGGCTCAAACGCCAACGCACAGGCGTCTTCTAATGCAATTGCGTCCGGCGGTGGATCGGCATCAGCAAACAGCAAATCGTCAGCTCTCGTTAACGGATTAGGATCTGCAAAAGCCGACGCGTCCAGCAGTGCGTCTTCAGGATCTTACGGTGAAATAGGATCGAAAAGTTCAGCGTCAAGCCAAGCATCAGCTTCAGCCGATACTAGGGATATGCTAATTTTTAATTAAACATTGTGATATAACAAAACGAATCGACGAGAAGACTCGAAAGAGTTTTCTTGGCCATAATAACGATATAATACTCCGATTTATACTTCGATGTTCCACGAACAAACTTACTTACGCCGTACAAATATTATATTGTTTAATTTTGCGACGAGAATTAAAGATTAATTATTGAAAAATTAGAAATATGCATATCATAAAAGCTGTCTATTAATAAATACGTTTAAATTTATGATCACGAGTTATACATTTGAACGTATTCTTAGAAATTGTGATTGTAAATTGGAGATTTGATGTTGAAAATAAGTTCAATTTTAAAAATAGATAAACAGTCTTGAGCATTTATTAGAAAACGTGTAAGGACAACTATTTATTTGTATTTGTATTGCAAATGTTGAAGGCAGATCGAATATTGTTTCTCTCGATGTAATGAAATGTGTAAGATGAAAATTATGACATCAGAACTTAAGACAAAAGATTCTTTGGCTCACAGAAATATAATTTAGACAAACCTATTTTCAATTAATTAATGACATATCTGCCTCAAACTAAATCATTTTTATATTCATCCGAGACATTCTGTAATCAGAATGATTTTAATATATATACATATATTATATATATATATACAATATATTTAGACACTTAAAATAAAAGATCTTACTTATATAATACTCTTTTTATATTTATAAGCGTACTTAAATTATATATAATTAGCTGCGTGTAGATCGCCTCCTTTGAATTCTGAATCTGTGATTTACATAAAATGCCAATGAAATATCTGATAAAGATATTATAAAAGTCCTATTGTAAATGTGATTAAATAAATTTAAAGATTCCGATTAAAATAACTCCCGATGTTAATAGACTTTAATAATTTATCTACTTATTTCTTATTTTTTTCTGTTATTATATCTTTTTATATAATATTGATTAAAATAAAAAAAAAATCTGTCTTATGTTAATTAAAAGTTAAAACCACTTCAGATTTCGAAGGATAAATGCGATCTCAACTATGTCATCTCGTAAGAGTAATACTCGACGATCAAATTAATTATGAGCGTGCTTACGTCCCCGTATATTTTTATAAAATCAAAGAATAACAGCGTTGACGATTGGCACCAGCAACATCTCTCTTTGTCTTTATTCTCACGATGGCAGGCGTCTCTGGAGTGTCGGAAACAACAGGGATAAAAACTCGTCGGACTTGTTCTGCGCGAGAGTATGAACAAGGAAAAACGGAAGAGAGAATTGCAAAGATGCAGAGAGAAAAGGAAAGAGAGAAAGACAAAAAGAGAAACAGAAAAAGAGAAAGAGAGAAAATAACAAAAAGAAGAAGCTAAAGAGAGATGCTATGAGAATTAATCGTGATGTTCGTCCGAATCCGCGAATTGTTACATGATTGTCGCAATTAATACGTAATTATCGATAATCATTTTTTTATGCTACGCGTGTCATTTGTTTCGCTTGCATTCTTATTATGTAATATTATTATGCGAGTTATGAACATGTAAGAATTTAATAAGATTTGTGATGTTTACGATGTAACGTTTTAATTGTCGCAATTAACATATTAATACACGTTGTATATCCATTTTATTTTCATGCATCATAATAATTAATATCTTAAATTATTATATATATAATTTGATAAATGATAATTGAGAAAAGGATGTATGCTTAAATAAATGAAAAATATATGTATAATTATATGTCATATAATTACATATAACGTGTATGTATAAAATTTTATTATAATATAATTAATATATATCTACGACAAAGAAAATATTGAATTTATTAAAAAAATTTGAAAACGTAAAAGATTTTTTTCAAACAGATTTTAAATATTACTTGCATATCTTGAATCATCGTTGAAAGTTTAATAAACTCTTATTATCACATAATTTTTCTCGACTGCAGAATGAATTTGTTTAAATAATTTAATCTTTCTTATTTTATAAATATTATTAACAGAATTCTACAATTGTATGCGTTTTTTTTTAAGTTATAATTTATAATATTCAATTATAGAATCGAATATAAATATAATTTATATTCGATTATATAGTATTAGGTGTTGGAATTAATTCGTAGCGTTTTTTAATGAAAGAATGTTATTTATTTCACATGAGCATTAAAAAATACATTAATGAAAATACTTCCCATCACTTGTAAAACGCTACGAATTAATTCCAACACCTAATATAATTAAGGATTTTTTTATTACCAATATTTCACAAAGTGGATATTTAAAATAATCCTGATAAAAAAATAATTTTGATTTCTCTTGAAAATTATAAGAAATATGTATATACACGAAAATATATAAATGTAAGCGTGTAAAAATACTTTTGGAGGTGTGATCAAAATTATTATATGTTAAAACATGTTGTCAAGAACTTTATATGTATATATGTTTATTTTCAGTCTACTTCCTCTCATTCATGGACAACGAAAGGTCGACCATATATCAATAAAATATTTTAAATATTAATATAATTTGTGTGTAAATTAAAGTATATGCTTTTTTTCTTTTAATTTACATGAACATTTAACATAAGTAATGCATGTATTATATCATATATTATATCATATATTTATCAAATATGGAAATTTATAATATTACATTATAGTGAATAATTATATCGAAATTATTAAGAAATAGTATAGAGAGAGAGAGAGAGAGAGAGAGAGAGAGAGAGA